AGGCATTTGTGGGGCACATTTGACTGAAAGAGTTAACTTATTTAAATGATAGTAATATATTTAATAAACATGTATTCATTGTATGCTGCTATGGGTGCTGGGCTTTAGGGGACAAAAGAAATACGAGTCAGGCACTTGTCATTGAAAGCATAGGGCTTACCATCACTTACTAATGCTTTCTTTTTTACTTTAGGCATGAAAAGGAAGAACCTCAGGGTGACTACTTTTATTTTGACTGATTTCTGATTCATTAAGAAATGTATTTATCTGTGCCAAGCAATATGGATAATAAAGATTTGTGAGTCAGAGGTATGACTGAATCTCAGTGAATATAGAGACTTTATATGTTGGGTATTCTGTTCTTAGTTACTGTAGCAAAAAGGATCATTAAGTAAGAGAATGGCATAAAGTGAGCTAGAGAGCTAAATGATAATAAAATACCACTTAATTCCATTGATTATATAAAAAGCCCTATTTTTCCATAGAAACCTTTGATTCTGAGCTACACATAAATACATTAAAAAAGATAGAACCCTTTAAATTCAAAGGAGTCCAAAATGATGTTTTTGCAAGTGATCTGTCTGATGTGAGGGAAGATGAAATATTATGACCTTATTTCTATTTTGTCTTTGGGTGGAAAAAATTAAGCTAATTGAATTGGTGCTGAAGGTTTTTGTTTTAAATCTTATTCAGATTGCCTTGGGGAAATATTTAAGGAATAATGTTAAGAGCGGATGCACTACAAATCATTTGAATGGATATTTTCTTCTTTTTCCTTCCCTTTCAAGCTCCCCTCTAACTTACCTTTTGACAAAGCACTGTATCATGCCAACCTTACAGTCTTTGAAAAGTGGCTCTAATGATGAGAATTCTGTTTCTCAAAATAAAGATAGCATGCTGTTATAATGACCAAAGTTTGGCAAATCTCAATGGAATCACAAACTGAGGACAATCAAAACTTCCTAAACTGATGGAGCTCCAGGAGATGGGTTTGGCAAGGAGTCAAAATATATTCAAAATGGTGAGACAGATACTGTACGAGGCAGTTCACTAGAAATCCTGCACCGTCATTGACCTTAAAGGTTCCAGGCCACCCTAAGACACCTGTTTTGGGCTGGTTTGAGCAACAGGACAGAGGGCTACCAGGTCCACAGCTATTCCACTGTGCCTGGTCTTGGTCAGGAAGAACCTTTTCCTTTGGGTTTTCTAAACCTCTGAAGCTTATAATTCTGAGGGAAGGGACTAGATGAAAGAAGACCTTTAAAGACCTCTTATCAACAGAATCAATTTGAATATCAGGTGTGGCCTCTCTAATCTTTCCAACCCTCCTGAAAGGCAAGGGCTGTAATTTATTCAGTAGGATTCCGCACAGCTGGGAGCAAGAGTGTTTTGTTCCTAACGAGAGCTGGCATCAACCCAATAAATATTTTAAAAATTGATTTAAAGAAATAGGCAAGTAAGTTGTGTGGGATTTATTTATTTTGTTTTTGATGTAAGTCGTTACTTTTCTCTCTTAAGTTAAAACAAATATATTCATGTAATTTCTATCAATACTCACTATATTTCAGTTCATCACTTTTAATTATGTAATAAACACACTTACTGACAAATATGAGCTAATCATCTTATTTGTTTAGTATATTTATTCCATTTGAGATAGATTTAGAATATTTTATACAAGACAATAGATATATTAGTTTTAAAGTGGGTCTTAGCCTAGAGAAATTGTTTGAAGAGTTTTCTGGCACCTATCTATAATAATAAAAGCATAAAATGCTAATTAGACCAGACATCCTTCCGGATGACCTTCTGGACGAAGCCAGCTGTGAGGGAAGCCCGGGTCCCAGGTTCTAGAGGGAAGCCAGTGTCCTGGTGCCAGCAGCCAGGGAAAGGAAGGCCTACTCTTGCACGAATTTCATGCATCAGGCCTCTAGTAAATACATCTCCAGAATCAACGAAGTCAATCTTATTCAACATATTTTAATGATAGAGGGGCAATTTACTATGACCCCATATTTAACCAAAAATTTTTTAGTATAAGACTTTCTATAATACTTTGCTGTTACAGACGATTTAAGAAAAGATGCTTATCTATATAACAATTTTTTAAGATGGCAAATGACTAAAGAGACTTAAAAGTTTCATATCTATTAAGAATTTTGATGATACACAATAAAAACATTTCAAAAACATTTTTAACCAGTTAATAACCTCTTCTCAAATCAATAAGTGACCAAACGAGAAACATCTTACTTCACATTGTTTATACTAACCATGTGACTTGGATTAAAGATGAGTCCAATTTAGCATAATTATTGGTGCTCTTCCAGACTGCATGTTTCTTCAGACATTTCAAGAACCTTCCATAGTGTTTTATATACAATAGAAAAATTAATCTCAAGCATGTCCTGTGTTGGGTACAAAAATAACAATCGTTTCCTAATTCCATGTCAGCAACCTTCTCTTAAAAAAGACATTTAAGTCTGCATCTATCATTCCATCCTGAATAGTCAGGAATGAAGTGAGACCCCATGCTTAGAGAAAGCTAAAAACCTAAAATATAGCCCAGCCATTGTGGGCCAATGGTTAAGCATCCACTCATGAAACAGGTCATGGTGGATTCTGGGTTTGGGCACATGCCCAGTTTGGGACCCAATTACCAGTGGGTGTGCAAGACACAGTGTATCAATGTTTCTCCTTCATCCATGTTTCCTTTTCCTATTCCTCTCCCTTCCTCTCTCTAAAAAATCAATAAAAATATTTAAAAAAAAACCCAAAATATATTAATCCTTGCAAAATGTCAAATATCTGCCTTTCAAATAAAATGAAAGTAACTTAATTACATGCTGCACTGAAACTCTGATAATATTCCCTCTATAATTATCAGGTAATATTCTCTCCTAGAACTTGTAATTTAAAAAAAATTGGAGAGGTTTCTGTAAAGCTAGAGATGTCAAATGGTAATAAGAAGCCTGAGTATCTTGCTTTCATCTTGGTTCTGAGTATAGGCAATTTGTAGAAAATGTGGTTCCCACATCCATCTTTTTCCAGGGAGTGGACAAAATTCTGAGAGGGGGATAATGTCATAAACTGTTGGTGTATTGTATTAAAAGAACCACGAGAAGATATCTCAACACCACACAGAGTATGATCTTATAAACAAACGTGGAACAAATATTTGGTAGAATTTCTTTTTTCCCTTCAATATGGACACAGTTGGATTTGCTCAGGTATATACTGCTATCACAAAGGGAAATCATAGTAAGACTTAAGGTAAGGCAGTTATCTGATTTATGTTGCAAGCAATGATTTGAAAGCAATGATTGCCTCGGGGAAAGTATAAATCTGAAACAATATTATCTTTTAGTCCTCCTTTCCTTATTTTTTCCTTTGCTTATTTATACTCCACAAATAGCCGAAACCAGTTTGGCTCAGTGGTAGAGCGTCGGTCTGTGGACTGAAAGGTCCCAGGTTCGATTCCGGTCAAGGGCATGTACATTGGTTGCGGGCATATCCCCGGTAGGAGGCAGCTGGTTGATGTTTCTCTCTCTCTCTCCCTTCCTCTCTGTAAAAAAATCAATAAAGTATATTAAAAAAACAAAAACCAAAAAACTAACTCAGGTATAACTGAGAAGATTTAGCCCAGATAAAGGGTCACTATACTCCACAAGTATAAGTTACCATTAGGTTAGCTTATTAACTTAGGTCATCTATCCTTGGTCTGCTCTCTTAATTTAAGTCTTATCTCTGCTAAGACCCAATGTTGTCCAAATCAATAAACTACTATTTTCTCACCTTAAATCCTTTAAAGAGCCTTAATTCATATTGTTTTGTTACTTCCCACAGCTGATCCTCCAGCAAATTTTATATATGCACACAGGAAGTCAGGAGGTTAAGACTAACAGTGCAGTGGGGGAAGGGGAGCAACTGCATATCATCTGGCTCTCCGGCACCAATCAACACCTGGTCTGGTATTTATAGCTCTAGCTTGTGGAAGAAAATGGATTTTAGTTCTAGATGTATTTATAATGGTTTACTCCCCCAAATGCTGCCCTCTTTATTCACACAGAATGTGGTGATTTTTTTCCAGTTCCTGATGATCTTCTTGGCAGGAAGAGGACAGTCTGAAGGCTTGGTAAATTGATTAGATGGAATGAGTTTTACAGATTTTTTTGCTGGTCTACAGTAAACTATGGTCACTGTGACTACTACAGAGAGAGAGAGAGGACTAATAGCCAACTCTAAAATTAGAAATATTTTTTCAGACCTCAGGGAGGAGTCTCGTTTTCAGAGCACTTACTGGTTACTGGTAAAAGCAATTTTACATCTACTGGAAAATTGTTGAAAAATAAACTGCTATGCAATAGACTAGTTAGAATTGGTTTTTCTAAAGAAATAGTAAATGGCTTTCGGGTCATAAGAGGTTACAGTAACGGAGGAATGATAAAAATAAGTTAAATGTCCAAAGTCAGTTGGTTAGAGGTCAGGACCAAAGCAAAAAGTTCTAGGATTAATATTCTTTCTCACTGAGGGAAACGTTTAACTGATGTGAAGAGAACCAAAAATAGTGCTAATTAGATTAGCAATTCAGACACACAGACACTTGCACTTTGCACTTCTGCTTGTTTTAGGGTTTGGAAAAGAGTAAGTTACTAGATGAAACCAATGCTCTAACCCAGTGGTCGGCAACCTGGGGCTCTCGAGCCACATGCGGCTCTTTGTCCCCGAGTGTGGCTCTTCCACAAAATACCATGTGCAGGCGAGCACATAGTGTGATTGAAACTTTATGGCCCATGCGCAGAAATCGGTTTTTGGCTCTCAAAAGAAATTTCAATTGTTGTACAGTTGATATTTGGTTCTGTTGACTAATGAGTTTGCCGACCACTGCTCTAACCCTACAAGCTCATATCATCCCAGAATTTTGCTGACAGTCTATTAGGAGAAAGAACTTTTTAAATATCTTAGAAGCTAGCAAAGTAAATAAGAAACAAATATGCTACTTTCATGAAATGAATATTTATTGAGACCAGCTATGTGCCACTCATGTAGGCAGGAAGATGCAGATAAGGTCCTTGCTGTCATGGGACTTACCATCTATCATTAAACAACACACATTGGCAGGCTGTGGAAGATCATGGGGATACTTTGAGAAGGTTGAATTAATTGAGGAAAAATCCTGAAATCCAGTGTTTGGGGAAAAGAACTGATTTTTGAGATGCTTGATGGGAAGCCATTGGGCCCTATCCAGCCAGGACTAAAGGAAGAGAAAAATTATTTTGCAAAGTCTTTTCTATTTTGATAAGCTTCTTTTGATGCAAACCTGGCATGCGTAACACAACAATATGGTTCCTCTTTGTCAGTAAACCAAGGGATAAGTTAGGTGGCATAATTTAATGAGTTTATTATCTATCTCTTACAGTAATCAAACATTTACTTAACCATCCTGAGGTGGCTTGCTGCCACCACCAGTTATTCTGTTAGACTGGTAAATGTTGAAAAAGCTGTGGTGAGCAGAAACATTCTATCTGTACAATTAGAAACAGTCTATACCCTGTAACTTTGAGGACTTTCTCAAGTTGCCAACTAATTGGTTTTCTGACTGCTTTTTGATTTATAGAGTTTATTCTCTACTATAAGTAACAAAGTTGTACTCTAAGGTTATAAAGATCTCTGTGACCATTCTAAAACCAAGTTCATCAGCTTGGACAAAGACTTGTTATTGTTCTTACAGAAGCTCCAGTCTTATTCAATGTCCCAATGGGCTTCTTTAAGATAGTTTCAATTTACAAAACCAACTCACTCTCTCATTCAGAGAGCAACAGTAGTTTCGTGCTCTGTTAAACATCAAAAAGTTGAAGTAGTTTAATTTATGAGTAACTGGAGAGATTTGCTACCTATTTCTATTTTGGTCCTTTTGTACTGTCATTAAGGGGAAAAAAAAAAAAAAGCCAGACCTTTGCTTATTTAAAACTTTTTTGAAATTACAAAAATAATGTGTTTCTTACCGAAAAATCAGTAACTTAGAACTAAGCAGAGAAAGAAAATTCAATCAACAATTCCACCAATCACTGAGAGACCTAGTTAACATCTTGGTGTTTATCTGTCCATCTCTTTTCTGCCTCCACATACGTTTTTAAATCGGAATCCTATAGTGTTTTGTGATTCGTTTCCTCGCCCCACTTAACCTTCATCTCGCTCCAGGTCATCTTGCATCATTTCCTGATGACTGTTCTCAAAAAGACCTAAGAAGTGACCACTGGCCAGCAGCAGAGTCTCAGGGTCTGCGTGTCCAACACGTGCAGAGGCCGAGCACCTGCGCCAGTTCCCTTTGCAGAACAGCCCGCAGGGTCATCCCCCGGGAACCGACTCCCACACTTTCTCGGGGACCTGGGCAGTGGTGGGGAGACGCTTCTGCGGGCCCAGGGGCCCCATTCCCAAAGATGCCACTCTCCCCCACCCCACCCCGATCTCCCTTACACAGCAGAGGTCCAAATCTGGGGAGCCGGGGTCACCCTGCGCGCCCCTCTTCCCGAGACAGCTCGGCCGGCGCGTCGCCTTCCCCCCGCGGACCCTCCAGCGCCGGCCGCAGGCAGAGACGCCGGAGCCCCCGCACCGGCCCCGCCGGGCGCCGCGTCTGGACCGGAGCCGTGCGGAGCCTCGCGGGGCCGCGCCGTCCCCGAGTGATGACGCGCTTCCTGCCCTCCCTCCCCGCGCTCGCGGGCCGTGCGCTCGCGCTCGCCCTCGGCTCTCGTTCCGCGCCCGGAGCCAGCGGCGGCGGCTGGGGCTGAGGCGGCGGCGGGAGCGGAGCGGTCGCCGGGCGCGCGGGGGGGACGCCGGCTGCACTCCCGGGCAGGCGCTCTGCAATGAGACAGTAAATGCATCCCCCGGTAAGGCGCACGGCTCCCTCGGGTTTCCCTCCTCCTCCAGCTGCATGCACGTTGCATGAATTTTCTCGTGTCTTTTCCCTCCCGACAGAAGGAAAATGTGGGTGGTTTTTTTCCCCCTCTTCCTTTTGCAATCTCGTGAGTGATGCCAGTGCAGGAAAAAAAAACAAAACAAAAACAAAAAACCGCACACCTCCCAGATGGGATGCTGTAAGGAAGGCTTTCTGCAGGAAAATAAAAAATAAAATAAAATCAATGCACCTGCCTACTGCACATGTATGTTTTTCACGGCACTCGACCCGGGCGCAGCGGGTTTGCCAACAAGCCTCGCGCAGCCGGCGCCCCAGAGCGGATTCCTGGCCGCGGGCAGCCGGTCCCCTCCGGAGCTCCCGCTGGGTTTCCGGTAACGGGGCTTGGAAATAGCGGCCTCGCCCGCCCGGAGTGTCCCCCTCGGCCCCGACCGGGCCCCCGTGCCAGGAGAGTTGGCGCGGGCGGAACGGCTTCATTCCAGCACTGGCCGCCCCGACTCCAGCGCCACTTTGCAAACAAGTCTCCGGCCAGGCTCCGGGCAGAGGCAGCCGGCTGGTGCCCAGCCCCTTCCCCAGCCCGGACGCTTGTACCTGCCTGTTCCACGACCCCCCTTTACTTGGCAATAATTTCGTCCCCAGCAAACTGCTGGTCGCTCGCCCGCCGGGGCACGGGGGCAGCGCCCGCCTGGAGCGCGAGGAGCAGGATTCGGACTCGGTGTCGCCCCGGACGAGCGGCGCCCTCTCCTTCGGGGGCCGCACGGGCTGAGATTCCGCGCCCGCGGGGGGGCCGGGGTCCCGGAGCCGGGCATTTCGGGATTCCCGGAGGACACTGAGGAACGGCGTTCGAGGGCGCCATATTTTCAGTGGGTCTCGGCTGCGCAGGGGAGGGGGCGCACCGTTTTGGGGGCCCGGGGGACAGCGCGGCGTCCCCGCACGAGCGGGTTTCGCCAGGAAAGTTTGGCTCCGAGGCCGGCGCGGAGGCGGCTGCGCAGGGCGAGCCCGGCGGCGGCGGTCCCCGCAGGGGCGCGCGGCGGCAGCGCTTGCCAGGCCGGCCGCGGGGGACGGAGGGCCCGGAGCCGCCGCCAGGGACACGCGCTCGGCTCGCCGCCTTCCCCGGTCCCGCCGGCACCCGGCGTGCGGGCTCCGAGGCTCCGGAACACGCCCCTCTCCGCCGCCCCGCGACCCGGGCGCTGCGCCGGAGCCGTGCGCCTGGCGGCGTCCCCGGCCGGCCGGGCGCGGGGTGCGGAGCTGTGCCCCCAGCGCCGGGGCTCGCCCGGGCGCACGGCGGGGCGCGGGAGGAGCTCTCCGCCTGCCTGCGGGAGGAGAGGCTCCCCGGGTCGCGGGGCAGGGCCCAGGGCCTGGCTGGCCGTCCTCCCGGCCGCAGAGCAGCCGGAGCCTCCCGCCGCCTCGGAGGCTGCGGCGGCGGGGACCGCGGGAGCGCCCGCGGCTGCTGCTCCGCGGTGGCCGCGCTGCCGGCCTGCGCTGGCGAGGTAAGGGGGCGTTTCCAGAAGTTGGGTTTTCAGGTGACGCTTGCGGAAACTTGGGTTTTGGCCGAGGGGACTTGGGAAACGGGAGTTGATGCAGGATCCCTGTGTCTTGTGAAAACTCACCTCTGGGTTATTTCCAGAAGATGAGGGAGGAGGGAGCTGGAGTGCTGGCGTTGGTTGTCCAAGACTCGGCTGAAGACAGGAGGGAGGGATGAGGTCCTGGAGAAATGGATCCCCCAAGGACAAGCGCCCGGCACTCTGAAGTCCCACTCACTTTGGTGTCTAATAGTACCTGGGTGTGCTGAGCTGTTGCCCCCCCCTCTGGAGCTTGGAATTAGTGACTTCTCAGGAATGAGTGTGGGGGGAATCGTTGCTTTAAAAAAAAAAAGTTTTTTTATTTTATTTTATTGGTTTCAGAGAGCGAGAGAGAGAGCGAGAGCGAGAGAGCGAGAGCGAGAGCGAGCGAGCGAGAGAGAGAGAGAGAGAGAGAGAGAGAGAGAAGCATCAATGATCAGGGAGATTCATTGTTTGGCTGCCTCCTGCATATCCCACGAACCCACAACGTGGGCATGTGCCCTGACCTGTAATCTTAGCTGTGACCCCGTGGTTCATAGGGTCATGCTCAACCGCTGAGCCACGTGGAAATTTTTACTTTTAAAATAGATTGTTTTCAAATAGATTGTGACTTTTGCCTCGCGAAGGGGCAGGGGAAGTGTGTGTTTGCTGACCAGCAATCAACTGAATGGAGGAACGAACCAACCAGCTTTGTCTTCTTACTGAAATTTTGCCGTAGTATTTGAGATCTTGTCAGCACTTTAGGGGCTTCCAGGGGTCACAGAATGGGAATAGATGGGAGGAGAGTGGGGAAGCTTCTATCGGGGAGATGTGCCCTTCGATGTCAGGGACCAGGCTGCTCCTTCCTTGTTCACTTCATTAAGTGCCCCCACTGTGAATGTCAGCGGTCTTGCTGGCTTGCTGACTCGTGATGTCCATACAAAACAGGCGAGGTCCTGGCTGTGACAGGTGGCCCTAAGAGAGAAAGCACGCCTGCCTGGGTGCTGGACTTTTCATGGAGCCCTAGAATTGTGGGAAGCACCACAGCCCAAGGTGCATGTCTCTAAAATTAGCATTCATGTACTAATTTAAGGAGAGAAATCGGTTGCAGAAAGCCTTCATCCGTTTTTGTAAAGTTCCCACTTGAATCACAGAAACACAGGGCTCCTCAGACGGGGGGAGTCACTGGTTTCCCTCTGCCTTTGTGCCCGCTCTTGTTGGTATTGGTGTTGCACTTGTACCTCTGCAGGGAAAGGGAGCTTGGTTAGATGCCCCTGTTGTGTGGGTACTGGGCATATTCCTTATAGGAAGAGGCTCATATGTGTGCGTCTTTAATTCGCCTGCTGCTAAAACTATGTGTTCAGGGTTTTTCAAACACTTCCCTAGAGTATTTTTAAGCGAAATCACGTTTTATAAAGAAGTATGGGTTTGTGTGTGTGTGTGTGTGTGTGTGTGTGTGTGTGTTAATTTTGAGTCCAGTTTCACTTATATTTCTAAACTAAAGGCCCGATGCACGAAAATTCATGCAAGAGTAGGCCTTCCTTCCCCCAGCTGCTGACACCAGCTTCCCTCCAGCACGTGGGACCTAGACTGGCTTCCCTCGGGCCGCCCGCAGGCACCTGGGACCGGGTCTGGCTTCCTCAGGAAGGACATGTGGAATGACATCCGGTCTAATTAGCATAGTACCCTTTTATTATTATAGATTATAGTGATTCCCCCACTCCTCCACTCCTCAGCATACCATTAGTACCCAAGAGCAGTTAAAGATGGTTATAGGCTCTTGCCCATTTAGCTCAGTGTCAGCTGAGTGTCAGCCCTTGGACTGAAGGGTCTTGCATTTGATTCTGGTCAAGGGCATGCACCTTGGTTGCAGGTTCAAGTCCCCCCCCCCCGACTAAAAATCAATAGCAAAACTATCCTTGGGCTGAAACCAGTTTGGCTCAGTGGATAGACATAGGCCTGTGGACTGAAAGGTCCCAGGGTTGATTCAGGTCAAGGGCATGTACCTTGGTTGCGGGCACATCCCCAGTAGGGAGTGTGCACGAGGCAGCTGATCGATGTCTCTCTCTCATTGATGTTTGTAACTCCCTCCCCCTTCCTCTCTGTAAAAAATCAATAAAATATATTTTTAAAAAACTATCCTTGGGTGAGGATTAACAACAACAAAGATGGTTACAGGTGGTAAACAATATAAATTTTTAACAACTGTGCACAGAAAAAAAAAATCTATACATCTACACTTAGCATTATGTTTTATAGCTACATGCATGTCACTTGTACATGTGTTAAATATCCTATATAATAGAAGACCGGCAGAATGACCAGAATGACTGGTTGACCAGTTGCTATGACGAGCACTGACCACCAGGGGGCGGATGCTCAAAGGGGGGGATGCCCCCTGGTGGTCAGCACGCTCTCAGTGGGAGTGCCACTCCTCTGACTGGGATGAACTGTGCTCCCACAGCAGGCTGATCCCCACAGGCCACATCCCCCCCACCAGTGCACAAATCCTCTTCACCGGGCCTCTAGTTATATAACAAAAATTAACTTTAAAAGGAGAAATTTTTGCAGTGAAGCTGAAATAATTCTACTGTAAACTTTTTAATCTGTATTCCCAAGTTTTTTACTGTAATATTTCACTACTAACATTCTTTATTCAATTTATTTAAACTAAAAAAAGAAAGTTCTCTGATTTATCCTACCCACCTTTACCCCCTGCAACCATCAATTTTTTTTTTTTAATTCACACATAAGAAAGATTTATGCATTTATCTTTATCTGTCTGTTTTATTTCATTAAGCATAATGCCCTCGAGGTCCATCCACGTTGTCACAAATGACAAGATTTCTTTCCTTTTTTCCTTTGGTGGAGTTAATCCTTACCAGAGGATATTTTCCCCATTGCTTTTCAGAGAGAGTGGAAGGGAGGAAGAAGGAGAGGGAGAAAGAGAAACATTGCTGTGAGAGAGACACATGGACTAGTTGCCTCCCACCTGCGGGCCAACGCTCTAACCACATAGCACACTGGCCAGGGCAATATTTAATTTTTTATGGCTGAAAATTAATCCCACTCTATCTAGGGGTGGGAAAGGTAGGTTTACAGTTGTGAGCACACAAAACAGCTCATTCTTGAGTTATTGTTTATTGGTTATTGCATTATTTATTGTTATTATTAACCTACTTTTGCCCACCCCTGTATTTATACACCAGAGTTTATTGTGTATAATTTTCAGTGACAGCTGACACAATACCACGTCAGTTTTAAGTGTACAACATAGTGACCAGACCTCTGTAATGAAGTGGTCATCTTGACACGTTTAGTATCCGACACTACACATAGCTATCATGATTCTATTGACTCTATCCCCATGACTGCTCTTACAACGCGGTTTGACATCTCAATCCCTTCCTCTTCCTGACCTATTCCTGCCCCACCTCTTCCCTCTGGCAACCATTAACATGTCCTCTGTATCTGTGAGTTTGTGTATTTTCTTCTTTAGATTCCATATGTAAGTGAAGTCATGGCATTTGTCTTTCTTTGTGTGACCCATTTCACTTAGCATTATACCTTCTGGGTCCATCTGTGTTGTTGCAAATGGCAAGATTTTATCATTTTTTTTGTGGCTGAGAAATATTTCAACTGGATATATGCACATCTTTTTCCCCACTTGTCTGTCATTGGACATCCAAGTCACTTCTATATCTTGGCCATTGCAAATAATGCTGCAGTGTACATGAGGGTACATAAGTCTTCTTGAATTACTGTTTTGGGTTTCTTCGGATAAATACCCAGAAGTGGAATTGCTGGATCATATGGTAGTTCTATTTTCAACTCTCTGAGAAACATCCATACTGTTCTTCACAGTGGCCACATACACTTACAATCCTGCCATCTCTACATCCTCACCAACACCTGTTGTCTGTTGATTTGTTGATGGTAGCCACTCTGACAACGTTGGAGATCACATCCTACCATGGCTTTTAATTGGCATCTCCCCGATGACCAGCTTTGTTGAGCATCTTTTCATTTGTCAGTTGGCAATCTGCATGTCTTCTATGGGGGAATGCCCATCCAGGTTCTCTGCCCATTCGTGTTTTTTTTGGTATTAAGTTGTATGAGTTCCTTACAAATTTTGGATATTGACTGAATATCAGGTGCATTATTAGTGAGCATCTTCTCCCATTCAGTAGGCTGTCTTTTTGTTTTGTTGAAGGTTTCCTTTGCTGTGTAAATACTTCTTAGTCCCACTGGTTTATTGTTTCTTTTGTTTCTCTTATCTGAGCAGTTACATCCAAAAAATATTACTGAGGGGGAGGTCAGAAATTCTGCTGCCCATGTTTTCTTCCAGGAGTTTAATGGCTTTGGGTCCTATATCCAAGTCTTTCATCCATCTTGACTTTACCCATGCAAATGATGCAGGAAAGTGACCTAGCTTTGCTCTACTCGTGTCCATCCAGTTTCCCCAACGTATTTATTGAAGAGATAATCTCTACCTCACTGTATATTCCTGCCTCCTTGTCATAGTGTAATTGACCTTAGAGGCGTGCATTCATTTCTGGATTCTCTGTTCTGTTCCATGGATCCATGAGTCTGTCTACATGCCAGTACCATGCTGCCTCAACCACCATAGCCCTGTAGTATATAGTTTGACACCTCCAACTCTGTTCTTCCCTCCCAAGGTGGTTGTAGCCATTCTGTGTCTTTTGTGGCTCCATATAAACCTAGGGTTATTTGTTCTAGTTCCATGAAAAATGTTATGAGTACCCTGATAGGGATTGCCCTGAACCTGTAGGTTGCCCTGGGCAGCATGGATTCTTCAACAATTATTCCCACCTAGGAGCACAGTGCCTCCCTCCACTTACCTGTATCTTCTTCATTTTCTGTCCTCAGTATACTAATGTTTTTCAAGCTATAGGCTTTTTACCTCTGTGGTTAAATTTATTTCTAAGTATTTTATGTTTTTTTTTTTAATGCAATTGATATAGTATAATTATTATATATATAATCTCTATATATAATTCCTTAATTTCTCTCTCTGATAGTTCTCT